GGACACTCTGAGGCAAACATGCTAGGGTCTGAGATGGAGGGCCAAATCTCATTTCTGCTGTCAGTTTTTAAGTAAATTCAAACAACGCATGGCAATTTACCAGTATAATACACACACACACACACACACACACACACACACACATATATGTTTACATATGTACATGCATAAACAGATGTGCACACACACATATATAAATATAATATAACACACACACACACACACACTGTTTCTCTCTAAAACAACCCAGGGTCTCACATTGAACTGGAGAATTGTTGAGTTCATTGTCAACTGGCTGCACTCAGGGTACCTGTACTCCTTATGACTGATATAGATTTGTCTACTAGATGACTTTTAGTGTCTATTGAGTCACACATTGGGAATGGGCATTGACAAGAGAGTATTTTTCTTTTAGAATTCTATGATAGGCAGAACACTGGGGCTGGAGAGATGGCTCAGTGGTTAAGAGTATTGGCTGCTCTTCCAGAGGTCCTGAGTTCAATTCCGAGCAACCACATGGTGGCTCATGATCATATATAGTAGGATCTGATGCCCTCTTCTGTCATGGAGGCATACATGTAAATAGAGTACTCATATACATGAATAATTTTTTTAAAGAGTCAGAACACTTCATGGGGCTAGAGATATAGCTCAGTAGTTTAGAGCACTGAGAGCTTTTCCAGGACCCTGATTCGAGTCCCAGTACCCACATGGCAGCTCGAAATTAGCTGTAACTCTACCGTCAGGAGAGCTGGTGCCCTTCCCCGGTTTCCTTGGGCACTCAGACATGAGGTGCACAGACATACATGTGGATAAATACTAAAATACACAAAATAAAAGTAAATAAAAATTTTAAATATTTTTAAAAACACACTTGATTTTGAAGAGTTGTCCTCTAATATCTTTAAACTTTACAAAGTCAGGTGTGAGTGGAGGTCAGCATACATGGCCGAGGAGGGCCAGGTCAACAGAAATATTTGCTTTTATTGATGTCTAACCTAAGAGCTCTCCTGGCTAGATTGTCAGGAATTTTGTCACAGTCTTGACAAAAGTAGCTAATACACCGAGGAGATTCCTACAGCTGTGAGATTGCAGACAAGCTGCTGGTCCCGTGGCTACTGGTCTGTGTGAGACATCATCTTACAATTCTCTCGTGTCCTCTCTGCAGGTGAGAGCCTGACCTGTCCCACTCAAAGTGGGGCAGTTTTCCCTCCCTTGTGGAAAATACAGCTGCTGTCTGATCCCAAGTTTTGCATATGGAGTTTTCAGCCACCAGAAAGGAGAGCAGCTTTTGTTTCCAAATTCTAGTTCCTAATGTCTATGTGACGAAAGGTGCACAGACAAGCTGAGTACATCAGCCACATCCAGGAATGCCGCACTGGGTCAGCCCAACACAGTGCATCAAGTACAGCCAGGGGAGCCACACTGGGTCAGCCCTCCACCCAACATAGAGCATCAGCTACCGTTAAGGAGTCTAGCCTGGGTCAGTCCAACATGGTAATCCGCTGTAGCTGTGCACGGGGTAGAGCAACTTTCAGCCAAGGATTTCTTGGGGAGGATACGTCTTGGCAAACTATAGAACTGAGCAGTACCTGTCACAGAATGGGAAGCTTCTCCCTTATCCTCACCCCACACTTGAATGCTTCAACAGAAGCAGTTTCCCATAGACAACTAGATTATATTTCATTTACACAAATGCCGCCCATTCAGAGAAGGAGAACCTTGAAAGCCATCTTATTTACATGGAATTTATAGAGCAAGAAACCTGTGCAACCTAGTGCTTTAGAAAGCTACAGGAAACAGGCGGCACCAGACGGTGACTAAGGTGCAGCCTGGCCTTGCGGCCCTAGGTGTTTTCTTTGCTTTTCAGGAAGTTATCCTCCATTGCAGTGCTCGAAGCAGGTACAGACATCTGTAACTCTCACTCATAATTCTCACAATGAAGACTTCAGCTGAGCAATGCACCAGGTTCAGACAAAAAGGGCCTGAATCTTGGAATTTTCAAAAGACTAAAATATATATTATCCAAAGGCAGAAAAGTAAATGTGAAAAATGAACATGATCATTTTGTCCCAAAGGAAGTTTATCCACATTTCCAGAGTTTTTGGTGCATGCCTTAGCATATACAAGGACAGTTCTTGCTTGGCTAGAGCTACCTGAAAACTCTCAGACGCTGTCAGATTCATAAACACTGCTTTTATGAGTAGAATCAAATTCACAATGGAAGTTTTAGAAGCTAGGTGGAATCCCCCCCCCAACCCTGTACCGCCTAACAAACTCTATAATTTTTATTACATCTTTTTTGTTATCTGCCTCCCCTGCAGAAGTTAATCTCGCCAAAGCAGTGACTTCTGTCTGGCTACATTCAGAGGTCACAGTGCCTGGCATGGAGAAGACACCCTATAGACTGTCTGAATCTGGCTAAAGTTAGGCATGATATATTTCACTTATGATCTAAAGATTCCAGCAGTGTGTGAAACAAGTGATGCTGTGAGGACAGCTGTCGGTGTTGTGGCTGGATTAGTACTCTGGGATTGAGTGTCTCGTCAGTGTCTAGGCTGAAGTGACATAAGCAGCTACTGTGTGTGTGACTGTGTTTCTCAGGGAAGACATTTTCAGGACTCTTCCCTGAAGCGCATTTTGACAGGTAGTAACTCTTTGTGTCAGGGTGCTTTGCTTTTTGCGTCTTAGAAAGATGCATTTTTACTTATGTTTACGTGTATGTCTGTCATGGGTCAGGTGACAAGTGTGAGGGTCCCCTGAGAGATTAGGTGAGGGATTCACAGGAGCTGGACTAACAAGTGGTTGTGAACCACCCAACATGGATGCTGTGAACCACACTTGGGTCCTTCGGAGAAGCAGCAAAGGCTTGTACCCACGTAAACATTACTCTTTACTTCAAATTCTTCTGTATCGAGTTGCTATTATGTATAACATCCTTGCTAAGTATGTATATTTATCAGTCATTTTTTAAAAAATGTGGTATCTACTTATAAGCATGCAAACAAGAAGATACCATAGCCATTCTGAACCTTGTTGTAACTACATACCTTCCCTTCTTGAGCAACATAGAGCTCAGGGAGGGGCTGAGTGTTTATAGATTAAAAACAAAAAGCAAATGATCCCTCTCCCCTGGAAGAGGAGGAAGATGCTCTGACTCAGAGTCTGGACAAGGTAGAGGAGGGGCAAGCTAACTGATCTCAGTCTGAACAAGGCAGCTGAAGGACGAGGCAGTCAAGGTTCTCTACAGCGTATAACTACATCCGCTGGTCAAAATCTCTATCTTAAAAAGTATATTTGAAGAGTTTTAGAGAACTGTAATGGCTAATTTTGACTGTCAACTTGATTGCATTAAGACGTGCCTCGTCAGGCCTGTGGAGGTGTCTGTGAGAATCTTTCCCAAGAGGCTTGCCGAAGGAGGGAAGACCCACTGGGAATGTGAATGGCACCATGTGTCTGTGCTGGGGTCCCATGCTAATAAAAAGAGGGGTACAGTCCTTTCTAGGCTCTTCCTGACCTGCTGAATTGACAGTAGGCAGCCTGAGCCTCTGGCCACAGCTTCAAGCTTCCTGGAGTTAAGCCCTCCCTGACACAATGGGCTGTGTGTACTCTCACACTGCAAGCCCAAGTAAGTTCTTCCTTCTTTAACTTAGCTGTGTCTCCCAGCAATGAGAAAAGTGAGGAATGTAGGAATACTTGGTAACATAACAACAACAGCAAAGCAAAAAAAAGTCCATAAAATAAAAAGGATTTTCCTCTGTGCCCTTCCCCCTTGTGACCTGAATATCTTAGTTTTGTTAAAGACTGAAATAAAATTTTTTACTCTGGAAAGTAACGTAAAGGGATGGCCAGGTGCGTGGCCCTTGTTAGAGCGGAGGCTATTCTCTGTAGCTGAGCAGTGACCATTCTCTAAAACCGGGAGGTGCTATTTGCTACCCCTGCCTGCGGTATTTAACATGGTGTTACTAAACTGACTTAGTGAGAAGCTCTACATTCCTTAGTCCCAAGATGAGAATCTTTTTTCTTTCTCTTTCAACAATTCATCTTCAGAAGCCCACACCCATGTCGACTTTATAGTCACCGAAATGTGTGGCTCACCTTTCACATCTCCTCTCAGAGTTTCCTGTGAGTCAGGGCCCAGGTCGAGCCTTCTACACTCTTCTTTCCTTTGTGCTATTAGAAGGATCACGACAATTCATGACAATCATCACCTCTACCTCGGCCTCCAGTACACACAGGAGTCTCTGCATTTCCTTAACTTTTACTGCTGTGACTGTTATACTTTGCATACAAATTTGTCAGTGTTCAGATGCAGAATTGATTTTCTCATATTTCAAAGAAGATTAGAGACCAAAGGCTAGGGTTTAGTTTATTTAATAACAGAGCCACATTCCCTGGTTTCTTCAAAAGGAAGTCTGAAAATCAAGGAGGTCCTATAAACAGCAGTCATCTCAAGGTGACCCTGGGGTTACCTAATAGAGTATTGATCCTAACAACCTCCTGTGACAGGTAGCAAGTGTAGAAAGCAGAAGGGGAAGGGGTGGTGGAAAGAAGTCCATAATCCTGTTTATAGACTTGGCACAATTTTCACCCCCCTGGGCTTCTCTTGTAGAAGTGGAGAATTCACTTGAGAAACCTCCTGGGTGTGTGGAAGATCAAATTAAGGGCTCTTTATCGGTGAGTTCCCTAGGTGAGATGCCTGTGTGCCCAAGAGAGCCAAGAGTGTTAGGGAGTGCTCAACCTAGGACGACACCTGGAAGAACTGCTCACGCCATCTATGGAGACCTGCACCACTGCAGGGATGTTAAAAGATCTAGAGGCATTGAAATCTTTACACCCCTGCTCTGGATCAGAGGGGTGTGGGATACCCTATTTGTCTAGGATGCACAAAGCCACTGTGCTATTCTTTGCCCTAAATTGGCTGTGCAACTTCTACACGGCTTTCCAGCACAACAGACTCGCAGACAAACAGACAGACAGATGCCAGACGACCTCTGTACCTGCAGAAGGATCTTGTTGCCATCGTGGTCCTCAGTCTGCCAACGCCCCTCGCTGATGGGGCTGCAGGGGTTGGGAAGGAGAGGTACCAGTTGCCCGATGTCCTTCACTCGGAACTCCAGCACGGAGGAGTCGGTGGGCACTGGCTTCTGGTCGCAGGGTAGTCTTTTCAGGGAGAACTGGATGTCCACATCCAGATTGGAGAAGATGGGAAATATGCAGAAGTCTGCTTTTCGTTGGCTGGGGTTCCGGCGCAAGATCAGCTCATAGAAGCGGAGGCTGTCAGCGTAGCTGTTATGGCGACAGTAGATGGTGAAACGCACGATTTCCTTGCCATAGTGCACCGGCCTGATTGCCCACAGTGGGGTCCCGGGAGCCAGAGTGAAGAAGTCCTGACTGCAAGGCAGGTAGGGTATGAAGCGGCCATGCACTCGCTCTGTGTGGTGGTGGCGCCAGGGTGGCTGCTGCAGCACCCTGTGCACTTGTAAAATCTGCTCCTCTCCATACTCCTCCTGCAGGAACAGCACCACCGCCAGCGCCGGCTGTGCACCCTTGGGAGACTTCCGCCTTCTCCTGATTGTGCGCCGCTCAGACACGCGAAACAGTGGGAGATCAGGGTGAACCCACGCCAAAACCTTGTCGATGGCCTCCTGCAGTGGCTGTGACTCCCCTGGGTCTGCGATGATGTGGATGCTCACCAGGAAAGGGTCCTGTGCCTCCTCCACAGAAAGCTCACCTGGGAGCACACAGGAATGAATGAATGGATGAAGAGATGGGTGCTTGGGTAGACGGATGGATGGATGGATGGATGGATGGATGGATGGATGGATGGATGGACAGATGGGTGGGTGAATAGATGGATGGACAGGTGGGCCAATGGTTGAGTGGATGGACGGATGACTATGTGGATAAATGGGTGTATGAGTGGATGGGTGGGTGGGAAGTGGATGCATGGATGGTGGGTGAGTGGATGGATATGTGAATGAGTCAGTGAATAGATGAGTGAGTGGATGAAGTGATAATTATTCTACTAAGAGAAACAGTAATGATATATATTGCTGTGGCAGGAAGAGAAGCCAAATTCTAACTGAATGGGATCTTTGATCTCCCAGAGATTGTGATTTCAAGTTTTAGAGAGGAAAGGGGGTGGGGGTGGGGCTGTTACTTTCTGTGTTGGAGAGTGGTGTTAGGAAAACCTTGGTTGTCCATTAGATTACACAGTTTCTTCTAAATAAGGAAAGTCATGTCTCTTGACTCAGAAGCCCCAGTGGGCTCATGAGCCCCTTTACATATATGCCAGCTGAAGGAGAGCTTTACTAATGTTAGGTCAAAGCTTGCCTGAACTTTTCATCTCAACTCTGTCATCCGACCGGAGAAGAGTTGTGTTCACTGTGACCCTTCCCATTCACTCACGGGATGAGCAGTCGACATGTATAAATTGCTGGGGAGTCTGTCTAGGAAGACTCCGAATGAACAGTGCTCTCTTGGAGTTATATGGTGTACAGCCCGTGTCACCACAGACTGTATCTATTTACATAACCATAGCCACAGGTGAGACTTTCATGATTTAGGCGGGGGACGCAGATATAAAATTGTAAACCCAATGTAGTGTGTGTCTAGAATGAATGAAACAGAATTACATCTTGAGATGGGGGTTAACAAGAAGTTAGGGCTACCTATAAAAAGTATAAACACTGGGACATCTTCTTAAAGTTTATTTATTTGTGCGAGAGGTGACCGGTTCTCTCCTTCTAGTATATGGGTCCCAGGAGTCAGACTCAGCTCGTCAGGTGCGGCAGCTTTTACCTTTACCAAATATGAGCGGGATGGGTGGGGTAGGCAGATTTGTGTGGAAATTTAGATAATGTCTTGCACTTGTGTGGTTATGTGATGTGTGGCTTTCCATCCAGATTTGAATTCTGAAAATCCATCATGATTGGCTTAGAGAGCAGTCACATGGTTATTCTGGCCATTTGGGGGCTCACCCTTTCTGCCTGCCTGGCTTCCTAACATTTCCTTACACCTTGGCATTACCCCAGCAGCAGTGCAGCTGAAGTGGAAGCTGTCCCCTCCCCTAGCCGCAGCTCTTCAAAAGAAGGTTCCCCGGCTACTGGAATGTAGCTTCTCTCTCCCAGGATGTCTTGAACTCTTAACTCCAGAGGCACATAACTTTGCTAAACACCAGTCAATTTTCAACCCAAATGCAAAAGGACTTGGTTTTGGACAAGACAATGACAAAGTTTGGTCAAGGCATTACAGATGGCTTCTGTCAGGAAAACAGGAGTAGATGAAGCAGAAGGAATGCTGGGTAAAGAACTTGTCAGAGAAATGAGGTGGCCTCTTTAAGATCCAGACCCCTCACAGATTGCACACATAGCCAGAGGCCAGGAGTGAGAGAACTAATGGGAGTTCTTTTGTAAAGACTTGAGTACACAAATTCATTTAGTCTGAGTTCAACCTTTGAAGTGGCTGAGATCACGACCTGAATTTTAAAAAGAAGAAAATCAAGACACTGAAATCTGTTCAGTGGTAGATAGACAGGAAGGCAGAGAGGCAGAGGCAGACAGGCAGAGAGGCAGACAGGCAGAGGCAGAGGCACTTTGCAGAGGCAGAGAGGTAGAGGCAGCGGCAGAGACTCTGGCATAGAGACCTGTGAGCCTCTGAATCTCCTCTCTGATATGCCTACATATTAGCAGTATGCTTAGCGCATGTCTGGCCATGCTGACTCCATCTCCTCCTCCTCTCCGTGGCTCCTTCCTAACCACCAGCTTTGCATCTCAGATACTTATCTGCATTTCTTTCCTCTGGTTCCAGGTTCCTTCTGAGGACAAGCATACCAGAAGCCACCTCCCTCTAGGCTCATGCCTAAGTCTTTACATTTTGCTATGGTCTGGTAGGTACCCAGGAAATAAAAACAGAGAAGAAATGTCAAGAAAACCCATAGGTAGAAAGGAGAGCCTGGGTTTGAAGAAGTCAGGGGGTGAGAGCTAAATTTCCCAAAGGCTCCTAGAGTTGTCAGGCCCTCAGCCTCATGCCACCCCCTGCAGCCACATAAAGGTTTCTCAGAGAGCAGGAACAAAGGCTGAAGCCTGCCTGGATAGTGGAGTGTTTACAGCTCTGCAAAGGGCAGGCTGCCCGGCCTGGGAGAGTGAGCTGGGCTGAACGCATTGCAGTCAAGATCAAGCATGTGGAAGACAAGGCCAGAGTCTGCATAGCCTTTATGTTGTATGAACCTGGACCCAGGAGAGGCTGAAGTACTGCCCCAGCCCAGCCCTGGGGAACATATGGGTGCTTGCTGGTGCTCTCTGCGAGTGACCCTGAACACAGCTCTAAAACAGTTGTTGGGCACTAGGGTTGCACGCGCATCTCTGTAGCACTGAGCAGGAAACCAAGTATTTGAGGGGAGGAAGAGAAAACTAATTAATGGTCATGAAAAGTCCCTGGACCTCTCTGGAGGAGCAGAGAGGCTGCGTCAGGGTGGGCTCTGCCTTTATCATGACTGTTTTCCATCTTTTCCAAGGACTCCACAGAGGACCTGGCCCATCATGGCACAACACAGCAAAAGCAAGCCCACAATGGCTGCCCCATGCCTCCAGAGAGGCTGAACGCTGCCACAGAGACAGGAGCTGCTTTCAGTTAGTCTCCAAAAAAGGAGGGCTGCTCCTGTGGTTACAGGATTAGAGTTTCTCCTGGAGCAGCTCAAATGTTAAGGAAGGCAGAGGTGAGGCCAGGCCTTCCCTGAGAAGGGATGTGCAGCCAGCCTGGCTTCATACGCTCCCCACAGTTTTTCTGACCTTTAGACGCTCAGTCTTTTTTTTTTTTTTCTGTATAAACTCAAGCAAAAAAAAAAAAATAGACAACCCAAACATTTATTAAGTACCTATTGTTTGCAAACTGCTATCCTAACACCTTTGTGTGATCTCACTTAATCTTTGAAACAAGATGCTAGGAGTGTATCTTTCCCATTTTGTGGCTAAAATGCTGAGTGGCTCAAGGCCCTTTGGCTAGAGAAGAGCAAGGGCTATCGGAACCCCAAGTCTCCCCAGCCCAATTCAAGCTGAATTAAAAGTATAAAAGCAGGTTTCTAGTGAGCAGCTCTAGGGCAGTTTCACCAGACTCTGGGGACAAGGTTAGTAAAGCTGCCATGTGGGGGTGGGGGAGGGAAGAGAGAGAGAAAAAGAAAGAGGGAGGGAGGGAGGGAGCGGGGGGGGGAGA